TTCCCTATACCAATGTCTCCCAGAGTTTCCCTAGTGTTTTCCAGGAGCAAGTTTATAGTTTGAAGTCTTAGATTTAGATCCTTGATCCATCTTGGCTTGATTTTTGTCAACAGTGAGAGTTAGGGGTTCGGATTCATCTTTCTGCAAGAGGAAATTCAGTTTTTCCAGCACCATTTGCTGAAGAGGTTTTCTTTCTCCCACTGGATTGACTGGTACCCCTTTGTCAAAAATCAATTGACTGTATGTTTGGGAATTTATTTCTGGGGACTCTATTCTGTTCCATTGGTCCACCTGTCTGTTTCTGTGCCAGTACCATGCTGTTTTGATTACCACAGCTTTGAAGTATAGTTTTGGGTCAGGGAGTGAGATGCCACCCACTCCACTCCTCTTGTGTAGAATTGCTTTGGCAATATGGGGTCTTTTATGATTCCAGATGAATTTTTTGATTGTCTTTTCTAGATCTGTGAAGAATGTGTCCAGTACTTTGATTGGCATTGCATTAAATATGTAAATTAATTTGGGTAGAATTGTAATTTTGGTTATATCAATTCTTCCAATCCATGAACATGGGATGTTCTTCCACTTTTTGGTGTCATTTTCAATTTCTTTTTTTAGCTTCTCATAGTTTTCTTTGTGGAGGTCTTTAACTTCTTTGGTGCCTATCTCTCCTTTTAGATCTAGCAGTCTTTCCTTCACATATTTGAGTGCTCCTGACTTGGGTGTGTAGATATTTATAAACATTATGTCTTCTTGATGAGTTAGCCCTTTTACTACTATATACCCTTCATTGTCTCTTACAGTTTTTATCTTAAAACCTACATTGTCTGAAATCAGTATTGCAACTCCATCCTTTTTATTTTTGTTATTTCTGTTTTCATTTCTTTAAATGGATTACCTTTTTCCAGCCCTTTACTTTTAGTCTATGTGTGTCTTTATCCATGATATGCATTTCTTTCTTTTTTCTTATTTTTTTTTTTGAGGATTTTTTTTCTAGAGGGCCTGTGTGCTTGCCAGACAGACAGAGAGACAGAAAGCTAGAAATCAACCCCAAGGGAGGATAGCCACGCCACAATCCCTTCTCCTCCATTCTCCTCTTGGGATCTTGGGCACACATGCACACACACCTGGCGTGAGTTTAAGTCACCGGGTCTGGGACTTGAACTGTGGTCGACTACATGGGAGTCCAGTGACATAGCCATTCCACCAACTGCTGGTCCCCGTATGCATTTTTTAGAGGCTACAGATAGAGGGTTTCTTTTTTTCAAATCTATCATATCACAGTCAGTATGTGGTGATCTAAAACATCATTACACAGTGAATTACTGTATTTTTAAAGCCCATATTGTTTTGTTTTCTACAATTCTAGGAATAGGAGTATCTACAGATGTATTCACTGATTCTCCCAAATTTAATAGTTCATCTCCTTGTAAATTTTTTGATTTTTCATGTGAACTTCTCTTCACTGAAAGTTGGTTTTTTCATAGACATTCTATGATCCCAAAGCTATATCATTTGGAATGTTTGCCACTGCTATGAACCTACAAATAACAGGACCAAATTATGTTAATTTTTTCATTTTATGTGCTCTATAGTAATAATCATTTACACAGAGTTACAGAACTAGACTTTTTTTTTTTTTAAATAATAGCACCTTTCTTGCCAATTTCTTTGGCTAGTAAAGAGTCTTTCTAGTTCCTGCTTAACAAGCATGGAAGTTCCTTGTGCCCTGTGGTCTGGATTTCCTTGTGAGCCTCTAAGTTCAGTTTTAATTCACCTCTTCATTTTTGTCACCTAATAGATTTATTTTCTTGATTTTGAGCCTGTGTGTATATTAAATTATTGTTGATAAACTTGAGCCATTATTTGTTTGTATTTGCAGTCGGAGGGTGTGTGGTAGTAGTGGGGAATATAGAATGTCCATCCACATCACTGCAAGTCATGTTGCCAGTGATTCACCACAGAGCATTTAGGAATCAGTGTTATCCCAGAATGTTAAGGTAGAAATGCTTATAATTTGATGTTTTATCACTTTTATTTCCTAGAAGTCTGCCAACTTGATGTGCAGATAGATAACTGTAAGGAAAGCCAAGACAAACCTCTCCAGAACACTGCATTCATAGGCAAGGAAACATCGAGGGATAAATGTGGTCAAGAATGCAGAACTTGTCAAAAAATTTGTCTGAACACTGATTCCATTTCTGTAAGACACAGATTCCCTCAATCTTCTTCATGGGGGAGGTGTTCAAAACATAATTTAAACTTTCTTAGTCAAAACAGAAGCTGTGAAAGAAAGAAAAATGGTGGCTGTAAGTTATGTTGGAAATTATGCCTTCATTCTAATCATGATAAAGCTCAACCTGCAGAGAAATTCTTTGAACCTAATCAGTATGAAAACATGCTCCACCATAAGGGAATCCTTAATAAAAGTCAGAGAGTTAAAACTGGGGAGAAACTCTATAAATGCTCCGAATGTGGAAAATGTTTATACAGAAAGCAAACCTTGTTGTACATCAAGGACTCACACAGGAGAAAAGCCTTAAGAATGTTGTGAATGGTCAAAAGCCTTCAGGCACAGGAGAAAAGCCTTAAGAATGTTGTGAATTGAAAAAAGCCTTCAGCCAGAAGTCAACCCTCACAGCACAGCAGAGAACTCATACAGAGGAGAAGCCCTGTGAATGCAATGAATGTGGGAAAACGTTTATCCAGAAGTCAACTCTGATTAAACACCAGTGAATTCATATGAGAAAGAAACCATTTGTATGTAGTGAATGTGAAAAAGTGTTTTAGAGCAATTATCACCTCATTAGACATGAAAAAGCACACATTAGGAAAGCATTTAAAATGTGTCAAATGTGCTAAGTTGAGCCTTATATATCAAAGGACCCCGAATGATTAGGAACCTGAGTGGAGTGAACATGGGAAAGCCTTTGATGAGAAGCCTACTCGTACTACAAATCATAGAACTCACACAAAAGAAAAATCTTATTAGTTCAATAAAAGTGGAAAAAGCTTCAGGGGAAAGTCACAACTCTCTGTTCACCAATTCATACAGGAGAAAAATCTTATGAATGCAGCATACATGGGAAGACTTTTAGTGGAAAGTTACACCTCTCAGTTCATCATAGAACTCATACAGGAGATAAACCCTATGAACGCAAAAGATGTGGCAAAGCCTTTGGTGAGAAGTCAACCCTTATTGTACATCAGCAAACTCATACTGGAGAGAAACCCTATAATGCAATGAATGTGGGAAAGCCTTCACTGAGAAGTCACCACAGGAGAGAGACCCTATAAACACAGTAACTGTAGAAAAGTCTTCAGTAGGAAGTCAAACTCATCGAATGTCAGAGGACTCATACAGGAGAGAAAACATACAAATGCAGTGAATGTGGGAAAGCTTTCAGTGTGAAATCAACTCTCATTGTACATCACAGAACTCATACAGGGGGAGAAACCTTATGAGTGTAGGGCCTGTGGAAAAGCCTTTAGTGAGAAGTCAACTCTCATTAATTATCATTTAGGAAATAAAACCTATGACTATACTTGAGAGTGGGCTAATTTCACTAGTAATTGTATCTCATTATACATCAAATAATTCATCCTGTGGAATAATCTTGTAAATATCAAGAATAGCAGGAACTCCATATATTGTTTAGTACTCATTTAACTTAATAATCAGCACAAAAGTATCATTCCAGAATGTGTACTAAATGTGATCATTTTTTCAAATTTCATCATCCATGAATGGAGAATTATATATCTGAAAATTTAAAACTGACAGATGTGCTAAACCCTACAGAAAGAATTTAAATGGCATTGTCTGTCAGAGTATTTATGCTAAGAAAAAATTAAGAATTTAAGTAGCTTAGTAAGCCATTTTAGAAATTATGAGAAAAACTATGTTTCATATTCTGTACAAAATATTTTGTGGGAAGGGTGGCAAATAAGTACTCAGTTATAAAGTTATGTTCATGGCAGTGTAGAGTGTGATTTTTTATTAAGAATTATTTTATTTAACTTTTATTATTATTATTATTATCATGATTAATTTGACCAGGGAGAGAGAGGGAATGTGAGAAAGCAAGTCATCAGGTCTGGGACTTGAACCATGGTTGGCCATGTGAGAGTCCAGTGCCTTTAACCACCACACCACCTGTTGGCCCAGGAATGTGATTTTTTCAAAGAACAGTTTAAAGCATAAAATAACCTAGGTGGAGCAAACTTCCAGGTTATTTCTTTTTTATTTACATTTAATCACCGTACATCTTTACAGTGTACAACATTGTTTTTCCCAGCATGGATACAGTGCATATTAGTCAAGTCAAAAACATTACCATATACATTATCATCAGCAGATAACTTTTCATTTTTGTGACTATTAAATGTGTTTTTCCCCCGATCCACTCTCTCCTACTCCCTATTACCTACTCCCTCTTTCTTTCTTTCTCTTTCTTTTCTTTTTCTTTCTTCTTTCTTTCTTTCTTTCTTTCTTTCTTTCTTTCTCTTTCTCTTTCTTTTCTTTCTTTCTTTTTTTTCTTTTTCTTTCTTTCCCTCTCTCTTTCTCTCTTTCATTTTGAGAGAGATTTTTGCTATAATGCTTGCTGGAGAGACAGGAAGGGAGAAATCACCCCTAGAGGGGATGACCATGCAGCAATCCCTTCTCCTCCATTTTTCTCTTGGGATTTTGGGCATGAATACACATGTGCCTGGCATGAGTTTTAAGCTGCCGGGCCTGAGACTTGAATCGCAGTCAACTATATAAGAGTCCAGAGACATAATCATTATGCAATCTGCTGGTCCCAACCCACCCCCTATTTCTTCAAGCAAAGAGAAAAAAATACTTTCTCAAAAATGGTGAGAGAGGATGAGTCATCAGGATCCCTGACACAAAATTAACTCAACAGGTATCCTTACACGTGTTCATCAACATATTCAGTGTAAAAATGCAAACCCCTTACAGAATAGTGAGCTTCAACACACTTCCCTTAGGAACAGTGCCTACATCTTAACATTCTCTCTCTTTTTTTTTTTTTTTTAAAGAGAGATTTCTGCTGTAGGGCACATTTACTCGCTGGAGAGACAAAATGAGAAATCACTCCCCAGGGGCATCACCGCACCACAATCTCATCTCCTCCATTCTCTCCTCTGGATTATGGGAACACACACACACACAACACTCAGTGTGAGTTTCAAGCTGCCAGGTCCATGACTTGAATCACAATCAACTATGTGGGAGATCAATGCCTTAACCACTGTGCCACCTGCTGGCTTCAATATTCTCTGTCTTTTAAGAAAAAATTATCATGAGCCAGCCCCATGGCCTACTGATTGAGGTAGCCAGATTCCACATGGCTGAACATGCAGTCCAAATCACAGCTCCAGCAGCTTCAAAAACATGCTGGGCAAATGTCCAAAATCTCAGCAGGATGGAGAAATGGATAAAGGATTATGGCATGACTATAGGGGGTGCTT